CYCYWAARKWAARGRAMYTKGCTGGATCARAGGGTTCWCTGGGTACAGTGTAGGATTTTTCARTGTTCACCAAAGSTGACAGRATCTACCTTKATTAWTTTGTTCCCTTGATCAGCATTGTTTGCTGACTGACAAACAGTTTTAGTCTTCATGTGTGTGAAACACCACAAGTAAAAAAATTATTTAATTTGTATCTTCCTAACGCACAGTCTCCCACTTTGGTTTGCTATTTTGTGCCCCTTGCTGAAGCCTTTGGGTGCCCTGTCCCCTTCAGATTTTCAGGATTGGGAAGTCAGGAGCACATGCTGTCCCAAAGATCAGTTTGTGCCCTGGAACAAGGAACACAGAGGGATTTGCTGCTGGAACTGTTGTTCTGCATGGCTGGGACATGGAATGGGCTGCCTGGACTTTGGGTCCTGCTCTATCTCAGGAGCAAAGGCCCAAGTTMATTTTTAAAGTGCCCAGTGCTCATSCTTCTACATATTTTMATTGTGTTGCTGCAGTGGAATTTGGGAATCAGATCCACCTGCTTGCCCTCCCTCTTTCTTGTTCTCTTTCCAGTAGTTTCTTACCTTGGATAGAGAAGCAGGGCCTTTTATAGAAGGCATTATGTTCCTCCTCTAGGAAAAAAAAAATTCTGTATTTCTGAAAGTGCTTGGGTAGATAAAGGATTTGTTGGAGGAGCTGAAGTGGTTCTAACAACTTCTTCATAACCTGTATCTGTCTCCTGAGTTGAATTTCACCCATGATTTAGGTTGGAAAAGACCTCCAAAAAGATCTTTCATGCACTAGAGCAGCATCCTGGCAAGCCTGGGTAAAATTAAGCCTTAAGTGCAAACTGATGTTTCTGGCTGGCCATGAGCASTGCTGCAGCAGCAGAGTTCTTCCACAGGAGGGCAGCTGGTGATCACTTGGAATTTTATAATTTACAAATCCAGCTGCCTTGTGCTACAGGAATAATGCTCCTTAATGTTTGTCCTTGCCATGCTGAGGTTTATTAAAGCAGCAGTTTAGATTTGTTACCTGTGTGATTGTCTGCACAAAACTGCTTTCATGCTTTGCAGATAAAAAGTTTGGGTTTTATTGCACCATTCTCATATTTGGTATACATATTATTAATTTGTAAAATGTTTTTTAAAATAATGGAGTAGTACAGTGCTGCTATGACAGTCTTTTCCAAAACACATTTGAAGCTTGTGATCTTCACAGAAATTTTTACTGTTTCAGATATTGCCAGGTGTTATGCTGGTGAAATATGGTGATTTGAGGGCTGCCTTAGTTTGCTTTTGTTGCCACTATCTTGAGTAAAAACTTCATTTTGGGCATTTTGTCATCAAAGAAACAGAAAAGGGYTCCATCCTGTTTAATCTCAAGTTGTTAAAGCTTTTTGTGGGAGCTTTTCAACGCAGTAATAACCTGTAAAAAAACCCTTGTTAACAGTGTTTTTGTGGAACTTTTTCTTAGTCACTTTRTTTTCAGCATAAAACTCGGAACTCAAAGTAGAGGTTGGATAAGTATATGCATTATTTGTATTCAGCCTGTCTTGGCTGCAACATTCAATGGCTTAAAATGTTGAGAAAATAATTTCGTGCAGCTTTGAAGGTAATAAATTAAGTCTTTCTTGTGTTTCAGAACTGTTCCTGCAGCTGGAAGTAAGTACTCTTAATTTATCAAAAATATGCATTAATTAGATTGAAGAGGCATAAACCTTGTTTCATCAACCAGTATTTGGGCTTGTTTTCCCAGAAGGCTTTAAAGAAATTTTCTTCCTTTAGCTGTCTTGTTAAACTTGAGATGTAGTAGAGCTTACTGCTGGTATTACCTCAAGCAACTTCTGCCCTTAGTTGTTAAAATAGAATTAAATATTTGCTATTGGCCTCTTGTATCTGGCTGTGCATTGAGCTGGTCTAAAAAAGGTTGTTTAAGGTGATAAGTGAGTGTGAAGAGCTCTCTGCTAGCAACTTGATTTGTTATGCAACGTTAAAATGGCTTTTTGCAAATAATTCTTTTGCCAATATAAYAGCACTGAGTCATATTTAGATGTTTTTCTGTAGATGATGAATATTGATAATCTTTAGAGCTCACCCTGGTTTTGAACTGAAAAACTGATCAATACAGCTGTGTGAAAAGCTATTGTGATATCATTAACTTGAGTCCTTAATTAACCTTCTTGCTCTTTGGGTTGCATTAGACAGATCAGGTGGAGAAAAATTACGTGAAGGAAAAGAAAGCAGCAGCAAAGGAGTTTGAGGATAAGAAAATTGAGCTGAAGGAAAATCTGATTGCAGAGTTGGAAGAGAAGAAGAAGATGATTGAGAATGAAAAGCTAACCATGGAATTAACAGGAGGTAAAGGAGATARACACCTGTCCTTTGTGTTACCCACTCTGTTACTGATCAGGAAAAGAGCTGTAAGGTGGCAGTGCTGGTTCAAATTGACATAACCAGTGATGCCAGGTTGTAAAGCTGTGTCCTTTTCTTCCTCCAGGAATAGGTGGACAAATAGTTGAAGAAAGCCAGACAGTAAAGGTTGAAATATGCTGCTTAAAGCCAGAAGAATAGAGTTGTGGGTTGCATTTGTGTCCAGACACTGGAAAATGTACATTAAATGGATGTATTTCTTTGAAACAGTTGGTACYCTTGGTGCCTTGCAGTGCTCTGTGGTAATGGACACAGGGGATCTGAGTCAGGGATTAATTATTCCTGCAGATTTCTGTTGCTGTGATGCTGAACCAAAAGTCTGATTTGAGGCTCAACTCCCTCCCTTCATGGACTGATAGCGTTGGTTTTGTTGCTGAGGCCTGTCCATCAGTTAGACCCTTCATCTATTTCTTGTGTAGTATCTACAGGTTTTATAGAAAGTAATAATTTAATTAATACTCAGAATCAGAATTAAACCCTATTTTGGCATATGAGTGGTGCTCTTGGCTTAATACAAACTCTTAAGCTTCTGTGGACTGGAAATCAGTTTGAGTTATGCTGTTCCCTTGGTAACTTCTTTTAATTATTTATGAAGTCTGGTCTCATGGTCATCCTTGAGACGAGGAGAAAAGGAATTTGGTGTGTTGCACATGCAGAGCTGCTCAAGGTTTTACTGTCTTGAGGGTGCCAGAGGGGCTTCAGAGATGGAAGCGCTACCCAGGATGTGATTCAGGGGTACTTAGAGATGAGCAAATAAATCTGAGCACACAGAAAGGGAGGTGGGATGAGGTGTTTGGCATTTATGAACTTGGCTGTCAGTTCAACATACCTGCGTTAATTAAGGAACGATTTGTGAGCATTTCAGTGAAGTTGTTCAGTAAAGGTTACCCGTAGACATTTGAACAAGTAAGTTCAGATAATTGCTCAGTGATGAGACTGGTGTTGAAGTTTTAAGCAGACTTTTTTCTTTTTCCCCAGTGCATCTGCTGCAGTTTGCTTCCTGTCAGCTGCTGCTCTGCGTGTTATTAATTAGGCTCATTTCATTAATCATTCTTAGATAATCTGAATTTAAATACTGTTTGTTTGAAATCACTCCAGCAGACTTGTATCAATCTTCAATGCAGGAATTTTCTCTAATCTTTTGACAAAGCTGTTTTTCTGCCTTGAAGATGAGAGAGCAATTGATTTGTGGCCGATGTTTTACATGCTATTAACGATCTGAGTTGGGTTGGCAAGGAACTCCAGGAGCTTGGCCTTTTAAATGCTCTGTTCCCAAGCAGATAGCATTAGCATGAAAGGAATTTGCCTTGAATCCTTGTAGCATCATTGTGCTGCTTATCTGTACCTGGAGCAGCTGTAACCATGGCATTGCAGCTGTGACCTGATGGGGGAGAGAACTTGGATTCACTGTCAGCACTTCCATGCTGGGAGCTATCACCAGGAAAAAAAAAAAAAAGAAATCCAATTTGCTGTATGAAAGAGGAGAGATTATTTTCCTTGTGCCCTCTGTAGAAAGCTGCTGCTGCTTACTCCTTTCTCTCTGGTCTTATCAGCTCTCCAACTTCATTACTCTACAGATTCGATGGAAGTGAAGCCCATTATGACGAGGAAACTGAGACGGCGACCAAACGATCCCGTTCCTATCCCAGACAAGAGGAGGAAACCTGCTCCTGATATCCTTTCAGGCAGTCACTGTTGTGTTTGCAGCCACTGTGCTGCYCACACCTTTGTTGTTTTGTACAGCGAGGAAAATGAAATTAAATGCCAGGATCAGATTTTAACCTGGGAAATGCTGAAGCACAATTGTTGTGTATAACGTGTGCTAAAGCAATACAGCACTTATATTATACAATGCATCTATAGAACCCAGGGTTTGGAGATCTCCTRGCATCCTGACTTAAACCTTACAGTATCATGAGATAACTTTTTCTTTTGTCAGTGAGAATAGTCTGAATTCYACAGGCAATTTATTTCACGAAAGAAAAGCTTTAAAAGAACATTGATATAATATATATATCTATATATGCTGAGATAATTGATTCCATAGATAGTAAATGGCTTTTTACAGGAGCCAAAGCTTTTCATATTTCAAGACGTGACAAAGCATTAACTGGAAAGATCATATTTGTCGGATCAAACTAGTTTTTCAATTTCTGATAAGGGCTTCAGATCTCTAATCCAGAGATGCATAGCAAAAGCAAGGAGTGCTAAATTTGTTCTTTGAATAAGGARAAATGAAGATTCATCTTGTTTTCATGTATCACAAGAGACAGAAAAACATGTCTGTGTRATGCTTAGGATCTGCCTTGCTGCATGTCTCAGAATTAAAATGTTCCTTGGCTTCTGGAAATATGTTTTTAGCTCCTCTGTGATGATAGGCACTTTTTCTATTTGTATATTAAATTCACCTGGAGAGGAAGGCAAGAATATTTGATTTGCAGAGGCTTCTTATTAGATTCTAAACTTGTATGTCTTAGATTAAAAAAACTTACCTGAATGTCTCTCATTTTCTGAAGGCAATATTAGACCTTGAACTTTTGGAGTTCATGCAGGATGGTCACGAGCATCTCCAGTTTCAATTAACCTCTTTCTGGTTGAAGATTCTGTTCACTCTTGCAGGAAAAAAAAATCATTTATTAGTGCCCCTATCTCATCCAAAATAAATGAGTTTCATAGTGAACATGACCTGCTAATTGAGCATGAGACAGCAGCTGCAGTGTGAAACTCTSTCTGTGTTCACTGGGAGAGGATTAAAGACCATCAGAACCAAAAYCCTTCAAATGCAGCCCAACAACTGTTAACTTTTGTTTAATAYTTCGAATACTTTTGGCTAAACAGTTGTTTTGAAGAAACAAAAGAGCAGCAGAGCTCTAATAAGACTATAATACACTCATTTCTATTTTCTGAAATTTTGGGTTCGTTTTCAGGTGTATTGTAGGCTCTTGTTTATCCCCAGTCACACCACGTTTTATTTAACTAGGTTTACGGGGGATTTAGCCCCATTCATTGCAGAAAACCTGAAGTGAGGCTGTTGTTTCAGCCCCCAGATTCTTTCCAYAGAAATACAAGGTGAAAAACACTGAAAATGCTGGTGCTTGATGCCCCTGTGAAGTAAATGTCAGTGCACTAAAGGTTTTTCAGTGATGGTTGTGTCTGAGTAAGTTAAAATGATTTTGCACTCTGCTGCTAAGATGGTGTGGGTGGGTTTGTATTAATTCCTGTGACCAGAAAAAAAAAGCTCAAGTAAGACATTTATTAAAATCCTGGAAACCTTTTGGCTTCCATTTAGTCAAGTGAAATGTCATTGACCTTTAGTTTTTAGCCTTGCTTGTTATCAAGAGCTTATGGAAACCTTAATTGTGGATACCTCAGCTAAATTATTTGTTGACTGATGAGCAAATAATGGAGGACCTGAGAACACTGAATAAGGTAGGGATTGTTGCTTGATTRTATTTCTTTGTTTTAAAGAGAAGGCAAATGCTTTCCCCCAAAGAGAACAGAGCCCTCTTTTATGTTTTTGAGATGTGGGACTATTTCATCCCTGTCGGCTTTCTGAAGTTGAACAATAAAAGATTTAGCAAGATGGTATCTCCTCCTTTTTATTTAGGTTTAATTAACCTCATTAGAATGACTGTCATCTGAAAATGTTACCTTTTGTGTGAACCAAGGGATGAGCTGTGTTAAGGAGTTTTTTCCTTGTGGCTAAACAGATGTCAGTGTGTTTTTCTGAGAGATCACAGGCTTTGGTGTAGGCCTTAGTATGGGGTGGGGTTTTTTTTATTAATTTTTTTTTTCTCCCTGCTGTCACAATATTTCAGCCAGCTGAATGGGGGGCAGTGTGCATGTTTATCGTTTCTCTAGTTTTGATTAACATATTGTTTTCTTGCTGAGCACTTGAAGTCTTATCTAATTTCTCAGAATATAAGCTGCTCATTAAAACATTTGAGGGTGATAGTGGAACGCTGGTTTTGTGCCAGCTGTTGAGGTGTCTCTAATGATTTATCTCCTGTATTTTCTGTACCCTGAGAAACGTTGGATCATATTCAAAAATARTTTGTTAGATGGGTTTGGCTCATTGGAGAGGGTTATCTGAATTGCTCTGAAGTTCATGTTTTTGGCCTTTGTCATATCATTGATCACCTGCACCTTTGGCTGTTTCCAGCACACTGCTGTGGGTATGTGTTATGGTACCAGTGCATTTAAAATACAAATATTCAGAGCATGGAAAGTAAAAAATCTGCAATTATCAACTGCAGCTTCTGTGGCTCCTGTCAGATCTCTAACGCTGCTTTGCTCTGTTCCCTTGCAGCTTAAATCACCCAAGAGACCAGGTGAGTTACTGGGACTTGTTCCCAGGGGGGCTGTTCTGACCAGAGAATGGTGCTGGAGATGTTTGGCTGTGGAATTTGGCTGAATGATTGTTCTGGCTGTTCTGTGTGTGGGTGAATGGGAACTGACTTTTATCAGGGATGGGAAGGGGGACATGTGCAGCTTTGGTGGCTGAAACACTTGGGTGTTGGACAATCCAGCTGTGGGTTTCCATTGTATCCAGGTGCATCTGGGCACCTTCCCTGCYTGTCAGGTCCGTGGAGGGATTGAGCACTGTGGTTTTATGCCTYCAGCTCTCTAGGTGTGCCTGTGCAYTTTATTTCAAAACAACYAATTGTGCTAACTTGCSTGAGCAATTTTGATCCTATTTAACTACTTTACTGTAGATTTTAACTAAAATAACATCAAGGACATGCTGTCCATCACTTAACCATGAATATTTTTTCAGATAAATGCTGTATTTCAGCAAGTATTTTCATTCAAGGCAGAGGTTGAGTTACTCATCCCAATATATATTTTCCTGATGGGTATTTGAGTTTGCAGCTTTCTGTGCCTGATATTCCTGCATGTATTCCTTATTAACTGTAGTTTTGCAGCCAGATGTGCTGCTGTGATGGGCACGTGATGGTTTTTAACCAGAATGTTCTCCTGTCACCAGCCTCCCCCTCCTCTCCCGAGCACCTCCCAGCTACACCAGCAGAGTCTCCAGCACAGCGCTTCGAGGCTCGGGTAGAAGATGGAAAACTCTACTATGACAAGAGATGGTGAGACCTGGGGCATTTCTGTTCTCATCAGTCTGTTGTGTGGTGAGGGGGCAGAGCCAGCACAGAGAAATGGCTTTGATCRAAGAATTGGTGGGGAAAGTGCAGTTGGGCAGAGTTGGCTGCTCCCTCCAGGGGCTTATCACTGATCCAGCAAAGCAGAGGTGATGACTGAGTAGTTGCACCCTGCAGGCTTTCAAAGATAACTGGTAGCTCCAATAAAAGGAGACTTCAGTCCTTTCCCTGGCCCACTGTAGCACTTAGGAAGTCAAACTTTATATGAGGTGGGGAGGCAGCAGCAGCAGCCACAGTGGGATGTGACTGAAGYTGCCCAGTTTGGATACAGTCACTCTGTGATTCGCTCACATTCCTGAGGTTCAGTTTTCCCGGCATTCCACAAGGTGGCAGAAGAAATGTCATCCAGCAGCTGCTCAGGATGAAAAATGCTTCTAATAAATCCAAATAACCTTTAAAGATCAATCCCACCTGGGAGAGGCAACTTCAGAATTGCTGATTGGATTTATCTCTGGCCAGCTTTATGGCCGTACAGCTGTACAAGCCTCTCAAAACACAAGGAAAATATTAAATCCTGCAGMGGAATCTTAGTAGGTCTTAAACTTAATCCATGAGACTTGCAAACCTGGATAATCARGGGGGCAGTCCTGAACTCCTTGAGCAGAGAGCAATTTGCAAATCATCTGCTTTAAACATCCATCAAGCATAAAGCAGATAAGAACTGAACAGGCTACTTATGTTATCAAGTTTTCTTTTTGTTTCATTTTTTTTTTGTGTCTAAAGTGACCATTCCCCGGATATATTTGGATGAATAAACTGTTCTTCAGAATTTTGAAGCATATGGAGTACTGAAAAGTGTTCATGAGTGAAAAAAGGAATCTGAAGTAATCTGTCAGTAAAGCTCAAAACTTCYCATTAAATTTAAATGTGGAAGAGCTTCAGTGAGCTCAGATGAACCTCACAAAGCCACCAGTTCTTTCTGAAGGGTATTTAGTTGGGACATAAAACATTTTACATGTATTTTCATCTGCTGAATTCAGTTGTCATGGGGGTCTTGCTGTCAGGAATTCAGGAATTCCAGCTGCTGTCTTTCCTGGCTGCCTTGTTCTTAGGCTGTTTTAAGAACAGTATTTTACTTTTTTTGGCTGTAATAATYCTGCTTAGATTTTTTTTTGATTGATAATAATAGTACTTGTGCAAAGTAGCTGGTGTTTTAAAATAATGAAGTAATTCTTGGTAGTGGGAGGGTAATTCTTTCTCAGATGCATAAAGAATGCTGGCATGCACAGAAATCCTAAACCTGACAGCCCAGGAGTGACTTTCTCTGTTTCCTGATGCAACCATGCATGACAATTACCTGAAAACAGGGAGTGTGTAGGGGCAGTAATGAACCCTTGAAGCCTTGCAGAGACATTTCACACACGTTTCCCAAAGTGGAGTGTTTCATATGAATGTGGAGTTAAACTCAGTTTTTTTATCCTCAGAGCTCTCTGCTCCCCCATCAAATCCTAAAACACAGCATACTGTAAAGCAGCCATCTTTTTGCTTAGCTTTGCTGCAGACAGTAATGCACAGGGATTTCTTTCCATCTTCTGATGGAGTTGCAGTTRGAAATCTTGGCCTTTCAGCAGAATATTTTATAGCAGGAAATGGAATTATTTCTGCTTGCCTCATTTGGTGTGTTTTACSTACTGCAACAGTRAGAGTTGTTTGGCTCTTTGCTTTCWTGAAAGCCACCTTAAACCCCATTGCATTTTTCATCTGAGGTAATTCCCTCAGTTCTGTCTCTCTCTGGATGTATAAACTTTGCAGAAGGGTGAGACATGAGCAGGTAACTGATGCACCAGAGTGCTGTGCCTTCAGCTGCCCTGCCTTGGTGAGCGCGGAGCGTGAGACAGCTCAGACAACTCCTCAGTGAAACACTGCTGACGGGGTACTTTGCCTTTTCTGTCCACAATTAACGTTAATTTACTGATGGAGAGTAATTCGTGATGTGAAAGTGAAACATCTGACATGTATGTCATCAGCTTTGGAATTTCACTGGTAATCAAAAATTGAAAGTGGGGGAAAAATATTTCATTCTTGAGATAACACTCAGAGCTGTTGTTTGCACTGGTACCTCCTGCGCTCCTACTGATTGTATCAAGATCRAAATTCTCCTTGCTTAAGCACTCACAGCGTGGCATGAGCACTGCTGGACTGAGATTTTTGTCTCATCTTAGTGAGGCTTGGGGTTTGTAGTAGCTCATTGAGTTCCTTTGTATCATTTAATGACATCTGGACTTGCTCAACTGAGATTTTTTTGGCTCAGGTCATTGTTGCTGTTGCGCTGCCCTGGAACCCGCTGACATACTTTCTGTCAAAATGAAGGAAARAGAACAATGGTTGGGCACAGGTGTCTAAAGGTTGCAGGATTTAGAGATTTTTTTAAATTTTAAAGTATGTTTGGAAGGCTCAAAGCTGACACTCATTCCRGTTACTGGCAAGCACAGTGAAAATTCTGAGTGCATGAGCCAGTAGGAAGAGATTGTGGAATAAACCATTGGACGATTTCCACATGTACAGTATGGTTATTGTGGAAATAACTGTAAAGATTAAATAAATCCATGCATTTTGCAAATGGCAGTCAGGCTGCARGGGGTTGCACTGGTGTTTCCTAAAGGAGTATCTTTTTTTTTCCCTTGCAAGGAATTCTGCAGCTTGGATTGCCCAGATAAAATAGTGATTAGGGTCAAGGTGGAAATACAGCCATRCTTTTAGAGCTGTAAAGTATTTTGGTGCTTGCTTGATTAAGATGATTGATTTACAAATTACTTGCTTAAGTGTAATTAGTTCTGCCTATGGAACAGAATGAAGCAGAAWGAACAGAAGTTGAGGTTTTGGGGCTGGCACACTGCAGGACTGGGAAAAATGGGGCCTGTGAAGGAGGCAAGTCYGTGGAATCAATTCAGAGTTACAAATTTCAGTCTTTGTTTTATACACAGCACAGTAAGAACAGTATAGAGCTTAAAATATGATCTAAAAAGAAGGGAAATGGATCTGCTTAGTCATGGCCTCCTCATGGCAGGTATTTACAGCTCGTTACAGTTACCAGTTTGGGTATTTCCACAAAACAGGACAGCATTAGAAATTTGAGGTCTGCTTAAACAGTGCACGGACTGATTGGGGTAATTCACTTTTGGTGGTGGTGGTGTTCTAATAATTCTGTATTGAGGAATAACTTGAGTGYCTGTGATTTTCTCTGCCATATTTTATCAGGCATAATAAGGAGTTGCCTTCTGAATCCCATCCTGTGTCTGAAACAGGAAAGGCTGCTTGGATTAACCCTTGAAGCACGGGCGTGTTGTCAGTCACTGTTCCCCTGGGTTGTGGCTGGGGCTCTGCCTCTCCTCCTTGCAGAAGTGAAAGCTGTTTTCAGTAACCTTCAGTGCAGAGTTGAATGTCAGTTAAGACCCTCGTGCATTTCAAAATATCCTTAAATGCAGAGTGTGTTTGTGTGGGTGATCAGATCACCTTGATCAGACAGAAAGTGGCATGGAAATAGAGGCAGACTTCAGATTTACTCTGTCCAGCTTTATCAACAGTGGTTTCACATGTTTCCTTTTTTTTTTTTTTTTTTTTTTGCAGGTACCACAAGAGCCAAGCTATTTACCTGGAGTCTAAAGAGAACACGAAGCTGAGCTGTGTGATCAGTTCTGTGGGCGCCAACGAGGTGATGGGCTGCTTGTATTTGTCAGGGGAGGGGGGAGGGCTCTAGCAAGGGCTAAAGACAGACAGACAGATATCTGTCTGGTGTGTAAAGAATCCAAGATAAAACTGACTTTAACAATCTGTTTTTGAGGTGGCAAGTCTTGCTCTCTTTCTGAAGGATGAATTTTTTATTTTTGCAAGCTCCTGCAGCACTTGGGCAAAGGGAGCACTTTGTTCTTTGCTTGMAGATTTCAGACACTTCAGGGAAAGAAATAATAGTCTTGAGTGCACTCCTCAATCAGCCAATAAAGGAACTTTAATTTGTTGTGGCAGCTAAGGGAAAACACTTTATTTCCCCCAGAACGAGCTGCATGGGGGATCTGTTTGTGTCACAGCTGTTGCCTTGCAGTGGCAGTTGTTGCACTCGGTGGTTGTTCAGACAAACAACTTGTGGAGGCATTAAAATTTGTTCAAAGTTGTTACTGTGATTTGGCAAAACTAATGTATCATTCCATCATCCTGTTGTAGAATGTAAAATTGTACATGTTTGTTTCCTACATTGCTCAAAGTTTGTGGATTTTTGAATTCTTTTGGCAAGCAAAACATGCCAAATTCTTGGAAATGTTACAGTTGGGAGGTGATTATTAATGAATGTTGATTTTAATTTTTCTGGAGAAATAATTGAAATAGAAATGCAGGCAAATATTAAATTTATTTAATATTGAGGAGTCCTGTTAATTAAGTCARTTTATAATTAAAATAAAAGTTAAATCAATCTACTGTGCTAGGTCAGCTAATATATCCCAAAAAAGTAGTTTAAGGTAAATCRCAAGCCAGCATAACTGTATAATCCTTTGCAGCAGAAAATATTGGACTTCCCTCCTAAAATACTCMAGCACTAAAAGCTGGATAATTCTTACTTTATGTATTTAAATATGTAGATATGTATTAGAAGGATATAATGCAGAGGAAATTGCTCAGACTTGATTTTTAAAGTGCAGGTTTTTAGACCTAAACCCTCTGGAAATGATTTCAAGAGCTGTCTGGAGTGGCTGCCTCGGTGGCAGCAGTTTGTCCCCYGGGACACGTGGCGTGGATCCTTCCCCACAGGTGTTTTAAGAGAGAGGCCCTCGTATCTCCAGGCACAATTTCTGTGGGAAATGCTCCACAGAACAGAGTCAGAATAAGCTTTTCATTTGACTAATAGTTACTTGTCTGGGCAATTCCCAGGACAGATCATTTTATGATCTGTGGATCTAGAGGGACTTATTCTTGATTAGGCAAAGCTCAGTGCCACGGTTCTGTTGTGAGCTGTRGCAGGAGGAACCTGCTTTCCTGATGGTGCTTGAAAGAGTAATTTTTCTCCAGGACTGTTTTGAGCAGGAAGTTAAGGAGGTGAAGTTAGAGATCTTATTTCATTTTCTGCTCAGGTTGCAAATACCTCGTGTAGGAAGGGAGGAGGGATTAACCTCATTGATCTGTGCCCCCTGAGGCGCTCCGCCCTGGCGCTAAGATACAGAGTTAATTTGTCTGTGTATTGCTTGCTGTGAGTTTTGCCTTTTTTCTCCCCTAATTCATCTCCCTGCCCCCTTCTCTTTGCCCTTTCTCTCTGGCAGATCTGGGTGAGGAAAACTAGCGACAGCACCAAGGTGAGGATCTACCTGGGGCAGCTGCAGCGGGGAGTGTTCGTGATCCGCCGGCGCTCGGCCGCCTGACTCTGCTCCCGCTGGCCTTTTCCTGGTTTTTAACAGATCACCAAACCTCTGCCAGGGRCTGCCAGGCTGCTCCCTCCTCCCAGCGGCAGGGAACAGTCCTGACCTCTGATGAGACACTTTGTGGCTGGCCACATAATCCCCAGTAGTCCTTAAACCTTTAGTGATGCCCAAGCACTGCCCTGGACTATTTCTGGATTTTGCATCAAGCTTCTGTATGCTCTCTTTGTATTCCGGGTGACTGTTTGAGAGGACTTTGCATCACTCTCCTTTTCATCGTCGTTTCGTGGTGCACAGGTGAGACTTGTGTGTCAAAACCATCATCATGTTTCTGTTGGAAGTCAGACCGCTGGGAGAAGCTTTGCTTGTCAAGACTTGAGGCTGTTCATCCTTCTTTTGGCCTTGTTTTCCTGCAAGGCTCAGGATTTTGGGCAAGAGATGAATCCTGACAGGTTTCAGCCGCAGCTGAGAGATGCTTCCAGAACACGTGGTGCACGACATCAGCTTTATTGGATGGACTGTTGAAAGATTGAAGCGCTGAGACTTTTTTAGGAGGGTGTGAACAGCTCAGAAACTGCTGAAAATACCGTGATTTTAAYGTAGCTCAGAGTCACGCGTGGTCGGTCAGAGCTTCTGTTTCTCTTTACATTAAAAAGCCCTTCATGAACAAGCAGAGTATGTCTGTTTGCTGATAGAGATGACCTGGAAGAGGTGGATGAGTTAATTACTGGAGTAATTACCTGGTTTTGCTGATAGCAGGGCTCTATGAATGTTTATGATCACAGATGTAGAGAGGCAAAAGATCAATTTCACTTTTTTCATCAATGCTCAGAATAACAGGTTATGGTGAGATCCTGCTGACAGGAGATCCTGGATCTCTTATATCTTCACAAGGAGCCTGGTACAGAGGAAAAGTGGCACTGACATGTTTTAGCTGGAACCTTCATACCCTTAAACGCTGTGCAAAGGGTTCCCCTTGAAGGCTGTTTTAACAATGGGAGGTAACTCTGGGTTTCTACATTTGCCCTCCTGTAGCACAAGTGAAAATGCTCAAATAATGATGTTATGGCACTCCCAAGGTGTTAAAAGATGTATCTCTGGCATTCCTGTATTATTCCCAGTCATTTGCTGATGTCTGGAACCACCCCATGCCACATGTGACTGCCTTGGCAGGAGCCCCACAGTGCCCTGGCAGCGCTGTCACATCTCTGCCTTCAGTGCAGAACACCCTCGTGCTCCTTTTGGTTACTAGTCAAAAAGTTGGAAATCCTGTCTTTCTYAATATCTGTCACTTCGAGGCATACTTTGTTTTGCTTTTGAGCTGCCTTTCTGTTCCACATCAGTCGAGCCTTTCTTGTCTGGATAAATGGAGTCAGGAGAGGGGAGGTGTGATGCCTGTGCCCATTTCTTTCCTGCAGTTGGGTGGCAGTCACACCCCAAAAACTGCAGCCTGTACGTGGGTGTGGAGTGGGGTGTGATGGCTGAGTTCCTGCTGTGACAGCCACCTGACTGGGTTTTTGCTGTGTTTGGGGTTTGGGCTGGATCTGGAGCTGTGGCAGGGAAGGAGAGGGTGTTTCCCACCCCTTGACAAGGTGCCATCTCTGCTGCAGCTTAGGCAGGCAGAAAGCAGCGGGCTGCATTTTGGCAAGTTAACAGCTTACTTAATATAACTTCACATTCCCTGCACATGTGACAGGTTTTTGATAAGGTGATGATGGACCAGACAGGATTTGTCACTGAGACTTAAAATGAGCATCGCTCTAATAATAAAAAGTGCTGAGGAAGTAGCAGGATTTATTTCCTGTCTCTATCACTTTATCAATACCTATATTTGTGGGAAGAGCTGGAGACTTGGATTCAGTGGTGGGGAGATCCAACAGCCATCTGCTGCTGTGGTGTTCTCTGTTTTGGGGTAATTTTGGGTATTAATGGGAGTGTGGATGGGTGGCATCCCCCTGATGGGATGTCAGGGTGTGTTGGATGGAGACAGAGGCTCCATGAGCTGGTGGTGAACCAGGGCAAACCCTGATCTCRATCTCTTCTTCTTCCACACCAATCTCGGCCCTCCAGGAAGGATTTTGACAACTTCCTCCTGTCAGAATTCCTTGCTGGTTTCCCCAGTGCCCCGGGTCAACCTTTGAACCTTTAATTTCTGCTTCTAGCAATGCTGAGAATGGGCTTTTTCTGTTGTAAAYGGCTCAATCTTAACTGCTACGCTGAAGGAATTTTATTTATAGGCCACTTCATCCTCAGTTTCTTAATGAAATGAAAGTCTGCCTTGCCTSTGTCGATCACCATAAAGAGTAGATCTATCTCACAGAGTACATGAATATTTGTATCCTGGATTTTTTTATCCTGGCAGGCTGTTCTGTAATGGCCCAAGCCAATTGTGAGGCTGGAAGTGATAAAGTGCAGTGCCTCGCTGTGTGCTCAGGGAAGCAAGTGCATTTTTTTTAATCCTAAAAGGATGCACAAGTAGTTCTGTGGCAAGGATGAGGCATGTGGAGATCAAGAGTAGAGACATCAGCTGTAGAATTGAAGATTTCCTGCCATGGGTTGGAAAAATAGAGACAAGTTATTCAAGGAGATGGACAAGGTCTTGCTTGAATTCTAGAGGAAAATTGGCTTTTCTGTCTGCTCTTGGCCTGCCTATCATCAGTCTTGAAGGATCCCAACCCTCTGAACAGAAAGAGCTTTGCTGCAGGTATGAAACAATTTAATCCTCATTATGAACAGCATTCAAAGCAAATTTAGGCAACGGCTTTAACTCGTCATTATAGTAATTTTGAAGAAAGGTGAACCTTCTGCCAAAAATAGACTTTTACTGAGGGTTAAACTGTAGTTGGCTGTTGACTCATATTAAGCTTTTTTTTTTTTTTTAATTATTATTGCCTTGAGAAATGGACTGTGATGTTGATATGTGTAAAATAAAAAAGACTTACCCCCCAGCCATTAGATGTCCCAATGGAAGGAAGCCAGATCAGGGAGCCAAATTCCAGGGGCTTTTTGACATCATACTCCTGGAAAGGTTTCCAAAGAGGCTTTTTCCAAGGACAAATGCTAATAAATGAAATTGTCTTTCTTAGTTTATGTGCTCTGCCTGGAATTTTGTAAAGAGACAAAGGGATTTAATGGCAGAAACTTTCATTGTTTGTCTTGTTCTTTTTGTAAATTTCTGGGAAAGTTGAAGAAAATAAAGCCTAAAAGAGCAAGAAACAGCTGTGACCCTTGTGAATAACTGAGGTTCTTCCTCCTTCAGAAAAAAAGAAAAAGCAGTTTTTGGGTTCTTGTTCCATAGAAGCAAACACTGAAAGATTCAGAAAATCTGAATGGATGTCTAAGGTCTGCTGTTAATCTTTTYGGTATGCCCAATTCTAAAACTAAGTATTTAATATTCAGTGAAACATTTAGAAAACAAAAGAATGCATGTTTCTGTTTTTCCATGATTTGCTGAAAACCTGTTGTTGCTGAAATTTCAAGTTTCCTATAGTTAAAGAATTCCATTCTTGTAATGTTTTGCTGAATGTGGAAAACACCTTTAATATTTAATATCAGCTCAGACTTTGGGGATGCCAAAACATCTTGTAWTACTTAAGTACCTATCAGTTTACGGTGGAGTAATTCTGTTTGTTTAGATTCCTTCTTTTTATGCAAGAATGCTTTTCTGGAGAACATTGGTTTTAATTTTTAAATAGGCTCAAAGAAGCTTGGGTTTATGAGAACCAAAAACCCCACAAAATATTTGGGTTTTTTTTTTTCCTCCAATGTGATGCTAATAAATAAGAGGAAGGGGAGAGTGGCTTAAAGAAACCTTCRGGCCAACGTTTAAATAACATTTAGGTGACAAAAGAAATGCAGAATATTCTCCATGGTGTGTATCTAAACAGCATGGGTGCCTCAAGTCCCCTCACATAATTAAAATGCTGAACAGCAGCACAGGAAGAGTTCCTTAAGCCTTTGGTTCTAAAATAGCAATGCTCTGAGCAAAGCCAGGCATTTGTAGGGCTCTGGAAGGGAGAGCTGTAACCCACGGGAAACAGCTGCTGATTTATTCCATCAGTCTCATATTTGAAAGCTATCAGTTCTCTGGATGCCTCCGGTAGCTTTGTCATTTTTCATTTAGCTCTCATTTGCATCGCTGTGTTCTGCCCCAAATCTTGAGAAGGGGGGGGGAAAGGCAGAATAGATGAAATGTACATTTTTCATTTCACTTTATTAATGCTCCTTATTTTGATTGAGTTCAGGATTCTTTTGAGGGTGGGCACTGCTTGCAGATGTCTGCACCTTTAATGGCCAGCCCAGGTGATGAAAGCTGATGGTTAATAATTTAAAAATAAATACAAATGCAAATCCAGGGGGAAAAATGGGTGTCTTCAGCCAAGGTTTCTGCTCGATGGTTTAAATCCTGTTTGGAAATGGTAACTGAAGGGTTTTTAAGTGAACAGACTGGTGGCCCTGGCTAACATGGGTTTGGAGGACAGGCTCAGGACACATGGATGGAGCTCCATGTCTGCTTCCATCATTAAAGGAGGAGGTAAGTCAAGTTTTGGTTTGTCTTGTGTTTTTCCTTTTTTTTTTCCAGGGTGTTTGATAATTAATGAATTTCTGTTACATCATTGAAGGCAGCTGCTAATTATGTCAAGTTCCTGTTAACACTGAAGAATTCCTCACTTTGCAGAAGAAACAGCCTTTTGCCCCTGAACTAAAATTTAATAACGCTGCCTAATAGCCACAGGAACTTTTTTTTCTGATGTGATTAGAAAATAAATATTCCAAACCTTGCACATCACGAGGCATCAATAATGGGCAAGATTCTGAATCCTGGTGATACTAAATCATGCAATAGAGTTACACAAAATGAATATAAATGCAAAGATTCTGCTGGGAAAGGGTTTCTGGGGCAGTAAAAACCTCATCCATTGAGATGGGGAATTGCTAAAACAAWTGGTTTAAGACTTGTCTTGAAAACTAAGGGAGAAGAGTTTGACCTGCAGCCTGGGAGGCTGTAATGGTATCAGCATTGAAGTATTGATTAGGTCTCATTTTTGGAGCAAATGTGGAGTTTTGCAGTTCAGGGAAGGGAAATAACCTGGCASGGTCGTTACCAACCCTGCCTCTGCCTATCGGTCTCGTTCTGCCCTGAGAGAACTCAAAACTATTGATTTGTTTCCTCTTTCATCGAAATAACTATTTTGGGAAGAGCTTTGACAGCCTGGGTGAAATACAGAAATGAAGTGTCCGTCCCCCGAGGATGGATAAACCCTTGTCTGTCACAAGGAAGGGACAATTGGTGGCAGTCCAGTGAGTGGCTCTGCCACAGCAGGGCTTTGCTCCTGGAGGTTTTTAGTRAAAAATCCACAGGTGCTTGTCTGCCATTTGCAGGTGCTGTGGAGTATTTAGCAGGTGTTTTGGGGTGCAAAGCTGCAGTGTTGGTGCTCTCACACCTGGGCTGCTCTCTGGTGTGTCTGGGGGAGGGAGGCAGATCCTGGCCTGTTCTTGCAGGGAATCGTGGAATCACAGAATGGTTTGGCTTGGAAGGGACCTCAAAGGTCATCTTCCCACCCCCTAGCTGGGCACCTTTTGGTGCTGATCTGGCTTTCTCTAAGAAGTCTGAAGGTTTTATTTGCTCTGAAATCCTGTGAGGGCCGCAGGGAACACGAAAGAGCAGCAGAACGTGCTGGGCTGGCCTGTGCCGCTCTCTGCTCCCCCCGTGCTSAGGGTTTGGGGCACATCTCAGCCTTACAATGGGTGTGATCCCCCTCAGACCCTGCCAGCTGTGCCCTTCCCATCCATCCTGCCGTGCCTCAGCATCACATCACCCCACCCAAGGTATCCAAAACCCGCCCAGCCTCCGAGCCCAGGGGCTTCTCCCATCCATCGTGCCTGGCAGCTGCTCCATCTCCATTAGGCCTCGGCTCTGCTCGATCTGTCACAGTGCCGGGCTGAGTGACAGAGCAGGAGGTGCTGCTGCTCGGGAGCGTTCCCTGCCTGCCTGAGGGGCTGCAATGAACGGCTGAGGG